GGTCTAACCTGGTGCTGCCGCCCGCTCGCCGTATATCGCAAAGCGGTATCGCATTATCCTTGGTCATCGCCACCATTATATTCTGGTCTATTCCTGTGTCCATCGTAGGTGCCATCTCCAACATACAATATCTCGCGGAAAACTTTAAATGGCTTGCCTTCCTCAACAAACTACCGCCGTCCCTCATGAGCCTTCTGAGCGGCCTAATTCCCCCGTTGTTGCTGAGCGCTCTGGCCAGATGGGTGCCAGACATCTTTAGATGTAAGCTACCTTATGAAAGGTTGTTGGATGATACTTACAATCTCAGATATTTTCACAACTTTTGGAGACCCTACAAAGTCGGTGATTGAACTCAAGGTGCTCAAATGGCACTATGTCTTCCAAGTACTTCAAGTCTTCCTTATCACCACGCTATCGTCTGGAGCTGCAGCGGTAGCATCCCAGATCGCACAAGATCCAAGCTCAGTACCTCAACTTCTGGCAGAGCGTCTTCCTAGAGCATCGAATACCTACCTCACGTACTTCGTCGTGCAGGCATTGACAAATGCCCCGAGCAACATCTTGAACTACTCTGACATCCTTTTCTACGTCTTTTACGACAAGTTCATTGATAAGACACCTCGCCAAAAGTACAAGAGCTATACGACATTGAGAGGCATGGCTTGGGGCAAGCTGTTTCCGAAGTATGTCAACTTCGTGATTATTGGTATGTTACGACTGGATCTTTCTGATCTGTAATTCAACTAATGGCTTGTAGCGATTGCGTACTCTTGCATCGCTCCTCTTGTACTTGGCTTTGCTGCGATCGGCCTCGTCATTTTCTACTATAGCTACCGATACCAACTGCTTTACACTGTGCAGCCAAAGATCGATACCAAAGGACATGCCTATACGCTTTCCCTCCAACACATTCTCACGGGGATATACATTGCCGAGCTTTGCCTCATTGGAATCTTTAGCTTGCGCAATGCCAGGGGTCCTTTGTTCATGCTTGTGCTGCTACTTATTGCCACGGCCATATTCAACTACACAACCAATCGCTACTTTGCCCCCCTCGAGCAGTACCTTCCCGCAGACCTTGCTCTCGAATCGGAAGACGATGAACAGTCACCTTTACTTTCGTCAGCAGAAGAAGGCGAGTCAGATGCGTTGCAACATGCAGAGTCAAGAGTTGCTCGTATAAGTGAGCGAACACGTGTGCCGCCACATGTCATCTCACCCCTTGCGCGCTTCTTACAACCACACGTATTCGCTAGCCATACCGCGATGAAAAGCTGGGTCCGTGATGGCGATTTTGACGACGAAGAACCCGAGTATAGCGATGACGACGTCAAGAAGGCGTACCTTCACCCGGCTTATTCGAGCAAAACGCCGATTGTTTGGCTAGCGAAAGATCCTATTGGCGTGAGTAAGAATGAGATTAGCGAGAATGAGAATGTGGGGTTGAAGGGTAGTGATGAGGGTGCGTGGGTCACCAGTCATGGCAAGGTGAAGTGGGCTGTGGATAACTTTGAGGAAGTGCCTATTTTCAAAAAGGATATCAAATGGTAGGGGGGTTTGGGTGTTCTAGACGAAAAAAAACCACATCAAAAGAGAGAGTACTCTTTAATATCAGTATTGTTCATTGCTTTGTTGCGTAAGACATGGCAGTCTTGTATTATACCGAATGAAAAGCTTCATACACACACACATGATCCGACTCTCCTCTGCGAAAGCAAAGAGTCCTACAAACTCACGCCCAGTGACCTGAATCAGAGCGTCTAGTCCTCCCCCGAATCATATCCGCCGCCTTCTCCGCAATCGCATACACAAGACTCACAATATTACCCTGTACATGCAACGGGAAAATACTAGCGTCCACAACCCGCAGTCCCTGCACCCCATGCACTCTCAACTCCTCATCCACCACCCCTCCTTTCTCCCTCGGCAACATAGCACAAGTACCTACGGGGTGATACTCGGTGAGCGTATTCTTCCGCACCCACTCCTTGGCCTCGTCGACACTCGTCGGCAGCGGGCCCGACGCATTCCGCGGCAGCACCAACCCACCCTTGTCATCACGCCTGAAAATCTGCGCTAGAGGCTGTACATTTGCAAACGACAAGACGTGCATGACTGAGCGGGCCATGAGATCGAGATCAAGGGGGTGCGCAAGGTATGCGGGATCAATGGCGGGATGCACCTCGGGGTTCGACGATGTAATGTGCGTGCTGCCTCGGGAAAAGGAGCGCGTGCTGCAGGCGGCAAGGGTGACCCACATGCCGTCGTCCTCGCAGGGGAGGAGCTGGTTTGGGGTTTCGGGGCGGTAGGTGTTCACGCCTATGGGTAGGAGGACGAGCTGGCAGATTGCTTCTTTGGGGTCGAGGAGTTGGCGGGCCATGAGGGGGTCGCGGCCTGCGGGGTCGGAGGAGGTAGAGGAAGAATGGGAGGCAAGGAGGGAGTCGATGTGCGATTGGGGGTTGGGCAGGTCTGGGGAGACTTTTTGGAGAGAGGCGAAGCCGGTTGTTGTGGGGCCTGCGGCGAAGGGGCCGGATTTGTGGGTTAGGTAGGCTTCGAGGGCTTGTTGGGTGAGGGTTGGGTTGCGCATGAGGGCTTCGGCGGTGGGGTATGCATCTTTGACGCCCTTTTGGGGAGGGGAAGGTTAGTTTGGGGGCGGGGATTTTGACATGTTTGAGATAGGGACGGAGATGGGTTTGTGCTTACGAGAACGATGGTTGTTGCTGAATGATCGCATAGGTTGTCGCCAACTCCGGGTAGATCTACAAGCATTTCTACGCCGGCTTTTTGGAGAACGTCAGGCGATCCGATACCAGAGAGCTCGAGAATCTGGGGGGAGTTGACGACGCCTCCGCAAACAATGACTTCCCGGTTTGCTTTGACTGTGAATGGCGAGCCGCTGACCGTGAATTGGACACCGGTGGCCTTGACAGTGTCGGCATTTTTCTCCAGTTCAATCTTGGATACGAGTGCGTGGGTCAAGAGGGATAAATTGGGTCGATCCTTGGCCGGTTCGTAGTAGTCTCTTGCAGCGTAGCTTCGTCTGTTGTGTTTGGGGTCAATGGTGCACAACTGGTTGAAGCCGCCAATGGCAGAGCCAACGCGAGGATCATTAGCAGGTGCGTATCCTGCGTTGATCATAGTCTTAGGCCACATGTCCTGGCTCCAAGTAACGTCGGTTTCCGCAAAGCTTATCTATGACTAGTCAGCCATGATGGGAGATTAAACAAGGCTTTTCGTGAATGACTTACGTGAATAGGTCCTGATGTTCCGCGCAAAGACTTGTCGAGATATTTGTTGTCTATTTTCTCGCCATAGGCCTCAGAAGCTGGGTGGTAGGTTTCGAACTTGCGGTAGTAAGGCTTGAGATCTTCAAAAGACCAACCCTTGTTGCCGAGTTCTCCCCAGTTGTCCAGGTCCTGCTTGGAGGCCATGCTAGTAGATAAGTCAGCAAGACTCGTGCGTAAGTATATCGCTAGGAGGCAACCAGAAATCACCTGAACATGCCATAATTGACAGCGCTGCTGCCACCTAGAACTTTGCCACGAATCCAGCCATGAACTCTACCCGCGGTGCCTTTCTATCATGGAAGTTAGTAAGTGAGATTGGTTTCAGGAAGATCTTACATACCTGGGGTACTGTCTTGTAGTCCCAGTCATAATTTGGATTCCCCCAAGTCTGCGTGTACATGCTTGGGGCATCAACAAGCAAATCATTTAGCGCATCGCCCCCGGCTTCGAGGACCGCAACAGTGACATTTTCGTCTTCACTAAGACGAGATGCGACGGCCAAACCTGCTGTTCCACCACCACAGACGATGTAATCTAGCAACAACGGATAGTTAGCCATGTGTATTTCAAATTACTTGTCTTGCACCTTGTCGAATAAAATACTGCACAAGGAACTTGTAGAAGAATACATGTTCAATGATGTAGCTCTCAAGACGAACCAGGGGGTTTTATATTCGTTTACATACCGTATGATCGGCTTGTGAGATCCTCAGCAGGTGCCATGCTTGTGACACCCTCGTCAGACATGATGGCCAGATCTTAGGGCTTTAGGTGAAGAGGAGGAGAATTTGAGTATCAAAATTTCAAATTCGAGAGCTCAATTTGGGCGCCCCTCCACGACTTTATAAAGATCGGTCTGCAAGTTGCCCACAAATGCATTGTAGGATCCCCAAAGTGGTATTCAGCCCCGCTCGTCCTGTGCCTAAGTTTCTCCTCTTTTAGTATTCAAGCTACGAGTGCCAATAACCGACCTTTTTCTCAGTGGACTACTCCCAATCGGTTCCTAGACTGGTAAGTCAGCCTCAGCTACTGATTGCATGAGGTGGTGTTCAGGGCGGTAGATAGTTATCGGTGCAGTCAGCACCAAGACCCTGATTTAGGCCAGTGACGGTGCAGCAGTAGTACACATGCTTTCATCAGCGCAGTGCGGGGTAACTCTCCTGATTGACTTTTCGCAAGGGATGAGTTGGTCGCCGAGGTAAACGTACCCTCTGGCATTGTATGAACGTCTTCATCGCTCGCGCTTCGCAGCACAAATGCGATCTTGTTTTTCTTTGTAACCCTCGGTAGATGAGGCTTCGAAATGCAATGCAAGATCGGCTACAGATGGAATACTGTTTTTTGCCCTTTCAGACAGGGGCAGTTGCGCAACCCCACTCAGGCAACCCTCGAAGAGTGGGTATAGTTTGTTACCGACAAGCAGCGCAGCTTGGCAAGCGGCTGAGTCTAGCCCGCTGTTTGGTCAGAATTAAAGCGCAGGGCGGTTCAATGAGCAGATAGGCAGAACTGGGCCTGGTAGTGTATTGCCACAGTTCCTTGGTGGTGTGGTGTAGGAACACGTGATAATCGGCGTTTAGAGACAGGCTATCCCCGGATGTGGGTACTGTGGCTAGTCGCACGGGCCCTGACGACAGAGATGCTCCACCAAAATTTCTAGAGCTCTAACTTTTAATCCTGACCACCATTGTCTGCTTTCGTTCCCCGCTCCCGGCCATGCTCACCGAACAATTCGTAGCCGCTATATCGGCTTCGACCAAGCCGAATACTGGAGTCCTCAAAGATGCGGGTATTTTTGTTCACGAGTTCCAGCCGCTGGCTGCTCAACGACAGGTCTTGAAGAAGAGCGCGACTGCGCCCAATGGCATTGCTGTAAGCGCCACACATGTTTTCGCTGCGCAATCGGAAAAGGCAGTCGTCCATGTGTATAATAGGGAAAAAGGCAACCAGGAAGCCCTTGTGCCCTTTCCAGAGAGAATCCATAGCATCGCGCTGGCAGCACATGATAGCATGCTTTTGGCTGGAACAGAAAGTGGGCGAGTACTGGCTTGGGAGGTTAGTCGCGATACCGTTACAGGTTCTGTAATTATGCATGGCGCTAATATTCTCTCTAGATCAGCTCAGGCCGCCTCGTCTCTACCTCTACTTCGCATCTCCAGCCAGTGACGTGCATTGTCGTTGATCCGTCCTCCAACTTCTTTCTCTCTGGCTCCTCAGATGCTATGATTCACGTATGGGCCCTGCCCTCGATACTCTCTTTCTCGCCTGATGCCTCGCGCTCCCCCGTACATACACTCTCTACCCACCGCGGTCCCATCTCTTCTATTGCTTGTGGGCACAGTTCAAGCAGCGCCAACATTGCCGTATCTATATCGGGTGACAAGTCTGCTATTGTGTGGGACTATCAAAACGGACAGGCGCTGCGCACATACCTGTTGCCGGAGATACCCACTGCCGTCACTCTTGACCCTGCCGATCGCGCATTCTTTATTGCCTACGCCGACGGTAGTTTGCAGACAATTGATTTCTACGACGAGATGCAAAAGACTACCCCGGTAAACGTCCTTCGTGACAGTGCTTTGTCTCACCGCCCTATTCAGCCCTCGCCCAAAACGCGATTCAGTGCCGATTCGCAGAAGCTCGGTGGAGCCCTCAGCCTGAGTTTGAGTTGGGATGGTACAACGCTCATTTCTGGTCATGCAAGTGGCAAGATTGCTTCTTGGGACGTCGCCAAGTCAAACTATCTTTCAACTCCAGCCAATCTTCCAGGGCCTGTCTCAAATTTACAGTTCCTCGCGCCCACAGGCTTCCCCAACGCACATGAACCAACGTTCACCATTCAGACCATTGTCAAACCAAAACAAGACGCAGGACTTGCAAGTAGCGGGAGTGGCTTAGTGCCACCACATTATACCTTGAGCATGCAGCTCACAGGTCGGCTACGCAGCACTCACTTGTCTGCCACTAAGCAAGGACTTGCAAGAAGAAATGATTTTCAAGAGGCCCTCACCCATCCTAGTTTTCCTACTAGCATGCTTGAGGAGAGTCTAGCCGAGCTAAACTCTTGGGGCAATCAAGCCAGGGCCAGTGTCGCTCCAGCAGCCGACTTCATGGCCCTGGACACAGATGATGCAGGTGCCTCCGGAACTACAGGCAACACCCTGCAAGCTGAAATTAAAGAGCTCAAGAAACAGCTTGCAAGCCTTCAGCGCATCCAGAAAGTGACGTTTTCGCAGCTTTCAGAGCTGCGTGAGGAAAACGATTACTTCGTGGCCCAAGAAAAGAAGCGGGCAGAACGTGCCAAGACACGAGCAAAGAGGAAGACCAATGGCGCAAAGCATAGCCTTGATACTGCGGATGTGGAAATGAATGACGGTACCGATACCGCTTCCGACTTAGGACTAAGCGATGCTCGGGCAGACGAAAAGCCTTGAGCGTTGGCAATGCTCCAGGCTTAAGCTTTTTCTCCTGCATTACAGGGGAGAAGAAATGACGCGTATTCTTGCAGGTATATCCTTGACTTCCGAATACTTGGATTCGACTGTGAGCTTGTGAGACTTCCATGCCCAGTCTACATGTCACAGCAGGTTGAGATGATGCGTAATAGACGCTGACTCCCAACACCCCACGCCATCTTTTCCAGCTTGTACCCACGGAAGACAATTGCTGCTGTGTTGCGAGAACCCCAAAGAACGCCATTTCTAGAACATTAGCCACGGATTGCGAGTCCCCTAAGCCACGACACTCACAGAGTGGGGCCACCCTGGGCAGTTGAATCTTGTCATCGTGTAACTATTGACGGAATTGGTTACGCGACGCAAGCACGACGCAAGCACGACGCTGTGCCTTGGATTCTGCGCTCGGATCATAGTCAGGTGTTCTCACGGAAGACACTGAGGCGACTCAGTCCAGTTTTGATTGATCACGCATCATATGTTCGACCTCTGTCGCTGTGTTACAAAAGCGACCATGCGCGGTGGGGGCCTCCAAGCTTTCATACCGGGATATCGTTGCTTGTGAGCGGAGTAGATACTGCAAGAGAAGGAAAAGATAGGCCCATCTAATCTTTTGCCACATTGTTGTAGAACACAGCCTCAACGTATACTAAGCAACTGCATACCGGTCCAATGACTAGCAATTTTGCGATCCGGGATGCCGGTGGAAAATCAGGCGGAAAACTAAGTTCAATCCCATAGTGGGGGTAAGGCGAAGCAAAATGGACTTGACTGAATACGGAGCCCTTTCTTCTTGTTGCCCTATCGGCGTCGCCTTCTCGTATACGCCCGCCCCCTGTCTTTTTACAAAAAAAAGCCCCGTCCAATATGATAGTAATGCCGAAGCTATTACCTTCTCTGTAGGATATGGTCTTCGGTAAACTCCGTAAACTTTGTCCTCCCATAGCAACACGAACGGACCAAAAAGACGTGAAGAACCAGGGCGAAGAGAGAGCAGAGAGGGAAAGCCCAAAAGCAAAAGAAATAACCCTTGCTTACTGGTAAGGCTACTAGCTCTCTCGCTCTCTCCGATCTTTTATCCGGGATGTTCCACGTAACGAAACCCTAACGTGGCCAAACCTGCGAACAGCCATTCCAGATGTATGTACATGCAACAATAGGGCTGCATCCCCAGCAAATCGAAGTACATGCAAACTTTAGTTTTTGAGGCGTTCGCGTCTGACATACAGTATCGATCCTTTGCCGTTGTATTTCTATTCGTTCAATCTTTCCTTTTCGTATTTTTTTGCTTTTTTTGAAACCTGCTTGATCTCCTCTACGCCACTGAGAAGAAAAAGGAAGTTGCCGAGGCGCGGGGAAGGGGAAGGAAACGGGAAGAAGAAAGAAGAAGTAAAAAACGGTGAACTGGATGAATGGTCCAAGCCGTTTTGGCTCACATTTTCTTTCTCTCTTCCTCTCTCTTCTTCTCTCTCTGCGTGTGTATGTGTGTGTGTATGTGTGCCTGATTATCTTCATCCATGCGTACCTTATCAATGCAAAGTCTGCCATCGAAATTAAGCGTCAATAAGACCCATTCTTTTGTATATATATATATATAACCACCGGGACGTGGAAAAACACACAAACGCCCAACTGGTTACGCGTGGGTAGCAGCACCAACAAGAACAACAACAATAATAACAATAACCACAACAATTAAACCCCCTGGGAAAACTCCACAATTATCGTGTTTGAGAAATCGCAATATTACACTGGAATATTACTAGTGTTCCCCTAGATTACTTACAACAAAAGTAAGCCACCCCTGCCCCCCATGTCATTAATACCAATTCAATTATCATTATTAATGCCGTTGTTGTTGTTGTTGTTGTTGTTTTTATTATTATTATTCTGTGGATTTATTTGTCGTAAAACTCTCACCTAAACTAAACCTCGAACAAGTTACCAAACAAGTTTGCGATTATGTTGTGTTCTCTATTCCTTTTTCTGTTTTTTTTTCGTTCGTTCGTTTGTTCTTTCCTTCTTTCTTTTCCCCGCATCACCACTTATGCGTTGCCGCTAGTTTCGTGCCTGCAGAATCGGCTTCTTCCCGTCTCTTCCACTCCTTCCCCCCTCCCTCTCCCCCTTCCCCTCATTTCCCCCCCCTCTCTCGATCTTCGCTCAACATGCTCCCCAAAAGAAAATATGAGCTAGGGGTGCTGTGCATTATCCACCCATCCTGATTATAGTTTGTTAATTACTATCATTCTTTTAGTATCGTCTAATCAAAAGGCCGCGTCATACATGCACCTATCACATCATCCATTGGCACTCAAAGTTAGTTTTTTTTTGAAGATTGTTGATATTTTTTTTTCTAGCTGTGAATTCTAGTCCTCTGCACCGCCTGTCCACTCAGCTGTCGTAAACGACAAATGAAAGTAAGCCCCCGGTCGTTGATACATGCTGAGCGGAATCTGGAACCTCAATCCTTGTTGTCGATCGCGCCTATTCTAGGAGCCCCCCCAGACATTACACGTATCGTGTGCCCAAAGACTTCATAGTGATGACGAGGCATTTTCCAGTGCAGCGGCAGAAAACCCGCCGATACCAAATAGTGTTGTTACACTGGAAGAAAGTGTCTGTTTGATTAAAGTATGCCAGAAAGGTTGACAGTCGGCTAATAATACTACGGGGAAGGGAACAAACAAGGGCCATGATAAAGATGTTTAACTCTAAGGTCGATCACCCTGAGGTAAATAGTCTTTGATGTTCATCACGGTCGTGAACCCTTGCGGGGTTGGTGTGTAGGGAAGAAGTCAAAGTACAGTACTCCACCCTCGCTGGAAGAACAATGTATAATGGATGGATGCTAGAGTAAAAGCAGATGCATGTCCAAACAAGCCCGAGAATAAGCACTCAAAGTGCCTTCGCTTTTCCATGTATAGAGGTAGCTGGTTGATGTCCCGAAAGGGAGTAAGAGATTTGTTGGCCGTTGTTCGTCGTCAATAGTGGAAGGCCGTGTAGATGATGATGTTGGTTGTACGGAAGGTGTCGCTAAGATGTTGGAAAAAAGCCGTGAAAAGGACCGCAAATGAACCGAAAGCATGTAAAGCAAGGCGCTTACGAAGAATGCGACTTGTGTCGGCCTTTGTTGCCTGTAGCGTACTCGCCATCAGGACACCATTGTTCCGGCTCAAAGTCTGGGTTCATAAAGTGCGCCGTGTTGAAGTGAGAACTTGAGAGTGTAAGTAGAATACTAGCGCATGAACAAGGGATAATGCTTACTTGCGAAAGATGGAAGTCTGGAACGGCTGCACCTGCATTGAAGAGCCGAACCCAGGCTCTAGTTCGTACATGGATGGTCTGAAAGGGCCACCTCGTTCAACGCCTATGGGGGCTGCTCTATCGATGCTGACAGGAGGCGGGGGAGGATGTATGGGGAGTGTCACAGGAGGTTGTTCGAGATTCATGTTGTGATGGCTCGCTGGGTTGTACTGACTCGCATTACTGGTGTGGATCGGTGCAACAAAGTCCAAGTGTGAGGAGCTAACCGGGGAAATCGGCGCTGTTGTTGGAGCATAGGGTTGCACAGGTGTAACTTGAGCGTGCGAAGCGGGGCTAGGACTGAAGTCGTACGACAATGAAGTCCACCGCTGACCTAGGCCGAGACTAGAGGGGTATATTCCCGGGATCATGTTCATGACGTCGCCAACGTTTGTTGCGGTCGGTATGAATTCGTCAGTGTAGTTGGCCAGGGCAACCTGGAGTGGTTGCTGCTGGGGCACGGGCTGTTGCTGAACCTGGGGCACGTCCCCAGCTTTGTACAGGATATCGTAGTGGCCGCTAGTCGTAGTTAGAAAGTGGCAAAGGGGAAAAGTCAGCACTAAGATGGTAAACTCACGGCCTGTAGAGTAGCCTCAACATGGGAGCACCGGAGATCGGACGATGGTGTGCGTCCGTTGGCTCCGAATAGAAGCTACGGTTGATCTCTTCACCAGGCGAACGGTCCAGATACCACACCTCGATGCCGAAACCGGCCGGCTTGACTAGGGCTTCGGCAAGAGCAGCAATGCCGACATTGTCAGCTTCACACTGTGTGGGCTCGATGTTGTTGGCACAGTATCCTCTGACGTCCCCGTTGTCAATGAAATGGACAAAGTCATCGGCATGCGTCTGCACCCAGGCGCTGGCCAGGAGCTAACGGGCATGGTCAGCAGTGTCAAGGGAAAAAAAGAAGATGCACAAAGCCAACCTTGACGTAGGTGATGATTGCCATGGACTCGCCCATGTCGTTGAAGGTGCGGAGCAGGATGTCGGCGGCCTGGCCATCCATGTTGCGCAGCGAGTTGGCAAGCTTGTGCAGGAGCTCAAATGCCTCGTCGGCAAAGTCGATCCAAATGTCACGCGAATAGCCAATGTGGTCCAGGAGGTTGCCGAGTGAGTTCAGACGGGCCTCTTCTTCAGCAAATTTGTTGACATCGCCCAGGCTCAACAGGGCCTCAAAGTAGGTGAAGGCGATTGCTGTTCGCGTTAGCAGCAGCACGAGCAGCAGCAGAGAGGGTTGAGCAGGCACAGACGCCATGCAAACTTACCCCGCCATCCACAATGGCCATCGCCACGACAGGTGCGGAAGTAGGCGTATTTGGCGGGCAGGGCAGCCGTCTTGACTTGGTAAACCGGATCTGCGGTGGCATACTGCGTCGTGATAGCAGCGCTGCTTTGGCGCTCGCCCACAAGTGGGCCCTTGGGCGGTCAGCGCGCTTTCCAAAATCACAGGCGCACGCTCACTCACAGTAGCCTCGGGCTCGTACTCGCTCGACAGCTTCTGCAGCTGGGCATACTCTTCGTCCGAGGGATACGCAGCCATGTTGAGGTGGGGGTCGCGATGTTGATGTTGATGTTGGCGGCCTGGGTGTTGGTGGTGGCCAGTGTGGTAATGATTATAGCTCCCGGAGGGAAGGACCGGGGCGCGGATAGCGAACGCCAATCCGCTTTGGTAGTGGCTCTGTGCCGGCACTCCATAATGGCCTTGGTGCACATGGGCATGTGGGTGATGGTGCCCATGAGGATGAAAGCCCGTCAACACCGGCTGCCTGTTCATGGCGACTATAACGCGCATGTTAGTCTCTGTGTGCTTGTGTGGGTGAGGGAGTGGGATGGGAGCTGCAACGCTCTCAATCTCCGCCCGCGATTTGTCCTGACCTGCGTTGCTTGGTGGGCGGTGGGCGTGACTGGCCTCGATTGCTGGCAATTGGACCAAAGGATTCCACAGCAGCGTCGGTAATGCGCATCGATCTCAGCACCAATTCGCCCGCAAGCTACTGGCGCGAGGGCAGCAGCGCCTTTAGTAGGCGCAGAGGCGCGCGGCGCCGGGCTGGAAGCTGTGTCGTTGCTGTGATACCCACCGACGCCCAGGGGCACAGCGCCAATATATCGGAGAGACAGGACAGATGTTTGCGGCGTGCAAGTGGGATCTAACCTACCAGGCACCAAGACAAGTCTGCAACACTCTTGGACCAGTCGCTCTGCAATGCCCTATTATTGTTCCACTGGGGGCCGGGGGGGGGGGCAAAGTCAGGGTGTATATGTGGGTGTGTGGGTGTGTGTATGTGTAAATGTAGTATGTAAGTATGTGTGTGAGAGTGTGTGAGATTGTGTACAAGAGAGAGAAAGAAACGGGCGTGACGGCGTACAAGAGCGAGGCCATGCACACAGACACAGACACACACACGCACACATACACAATCAGCGCCTAGATACATCAAACAAAAGCAACTGTTAACGAGAGGGGGGGGTGGGCGGGAGGGGGCAAGACCATGACCCATGGCACATCGGCCAGGGCAAAGCGGCACTGTATGCGCAACAGGACTGGGCGTGTGATATCCCATCACTTTGCCCAACTAGTCCTGATGGAACCGGAGTCTGGAAATTGAAGTGCACTCTGACTCTCTTTCTGGCCTCTTCCACGACTCTGTCAAGGTCATGGCCGAGCAAAGAGCCGGGGGGCGGCTCAGCCAACGCTCCCACAGCGCCGCCAACCGGAGCATTTGGAGCCAGTCACTGACAGTTTGAGTGAGGCTGGCCGAGGGAGGGAGGGATGGAGGATGCAAAGCGATCAGCGCCAGCACCAGCACCAGCACCAGCAGATGCGGCAGCCGATGCCGTGTGACGGCGGCAAGAATCGTCTCCAAGCACAGCATCACCCAGACAGCCCATGGCGTCGAGAACAAGGCAAGCCCTCTCACACACGAGGCCGGGGGGAGATTACATGATTCGCTGTGCACCTCCATGGCGCTGATGCGACAGGAAAAAATAAAAATAAGAATAAGAGTTCCCGCACACCCGAGAGATAGCCTAGACAGGTTACCGATCCCACGCCAGGGGCGAGTCAGGAAAGGCGTGGGCTCGCTTGATACCAGCTACCCTCGTCCAGTGCCCGCTTCCCCGGAGCGTAGCGCCGTTGTCGTCGGGAACTCCCTTTACTCTCATTCGTACTCGCAATCAATCAAGCTTCAGTGTACTGCGTCACGCACCACCCACTCTCCACGGCGCACCCGTCCCTGGAGGATGCCGCCCTCGGCCACGCAACCAGGTCTCTGGAATGTTGCATTGACAAAACGAGGCCCTCATGCATCACCCTCACTACGCACAAAGTGGACCGTCGCTGCTGACCCATGGCTAATTAACTAGTACCCGCTGTGCCAGTTGCGTGACCAAGCCCGACCGACCTTCTCCGCCGTCCAACTGACCATGTTGAAACGCCTCCGCTGCTGCTCATGCTCGTCGACGAACCCTCTAGCCTCGTGCTACCCCGTGGGCCAACCCTCGCCTGTTCCTACCAGCAACCTCATGCCATGTCTCAAGTCTTCTTCAGGTGAGGAACGCCTCCGTCACGGTAATGTACAACCCTCCGAACGCCCCCGTGTCCCGGAAACCCAGTTGCGGGTCGTCTTGTGAAGCCCACGACCGATGATGCAGGTCATCCTTTGCTCACCATACCCGCCTGGCGTCCTGGGCCCTTGCCCTTTGGTCGCCCTGACTTGGCTCCCATGGAGCTCTGGTTCCACCCCATACCTGGAGCCCCGCCAGGAGTGAACTGAGACCCACTCTCGTCAGACTTGAAGCCCTCGCCCTCGTTTAGCACCGTCTGCCATAGCACTCCAATGGCGCTGCTCCATTCCTTGATCGCCTGCACCCGATCCATGTCTGTGCTACTCTCAATCTCCACGGTTCCGTTCTGCTGGTTGATCTTGCCCCGTAACCGCTTGTCAACAATCAGGAACCCCACAATCTCCTGCACTTCAGACAGTGAAATCTTGAGCTGTTTCGAGATAAAAGCTAGCGTAAACCGCGTGTAGGGCGCAACCAGCTTCACTATCGCCTTGGTACGCACATTGCGCGTCACTTCGTCAATGTTCTCGGCAATAAAGGGATCCTGGAGCAAGTCGCGGTTGTTTTGCAGAATCTTCTCGTATCCATGAATGTCCTCCAGCTGATAAGCATTGACCAGGTCAGTCATGGTGGAGATGCGTGGATCGTTCTGATACGGCTTGGTCTCCTGCGAGTCAAACGGATTGATATCCGAACCCGAGAGCATCGTAGCAAGAACCAGGTACTTCAGGACCTGAATGCGTTGAAGCGAGCCAGCCTCGTCATAATTCTTGAAACTCTCGAAGAAATCACTCTGTGCCCCCTTCCAGTTCTCTGCTACGAGTTAGCGCTGGTTGCCTGACCTGTGTGACATGGATGTCCGTTGTGCTTGCCTTCGCTCATGTGCATCTTGCCACCGCATTCGCGGATGATGCCCATAATCTTGGGATGTGGAACTGCTGACTTGACCTTGAGTGCTCGCTGGTAGAGAGCCTTTGGAAGTGTTAGAGAGCATGCACATGGAATCACACTTGAGACGACTGACCTTTAGTCGCTTGTTGTTCCTAGTCTCAGCATACATCAAAATCTCGAGCGAGTAGACCTCCAATGAGTATGTGCCCTTGCTTGGGTCGTCTGTGCCGTCTTCCCGTTGGCAGGCCTTGTGTAGCTCGCGGAGCTTCTCGGTAAGCTGACGATAGTCCTTCCTGTCCAACCATAGCCGAGCGAGCTTGATATTGGTCTTGAGCCACAACCGCTCGTTGTTGGTACTCTGGAAGATGTCTAAGGTGAGGGCGTAGAAGTTCTCCATGCAGCGATATGCGTCGGCGTCTTCTGCGGCTTTCTCTATAAAGTCAAGCATGTTGTTTATTGACTTCTCCGAGTAGTTGCGTGTCACGGCAGACTTGACATAGGTGAGAAGCTCCTTGTAGTGCTCGACTGCCTGCCTGATTGTTAGCTGTGGCGCCCTCGTTGTCGTGGTGGCATATACGTACCTTGTCATAGCGCGCCAGCTTGAACTCGAGCTTGATGGCCTGTTTCAGCCCTTTGAAGCCCCTTTGTCTCCGTCAGCTCGTATCCATGGCGCCAGATGTGAGTGTCGCGTACCATTCCGACTTTTCCTGCTCCAGTGCAGGCATGCCCAGAAATTCATCTATAGCCGCCTCGGGGTCGTCGGCCTTGAGCTGCTTTGCATTGTAGTACTTGTTTTCAATGTCGACGTCGCCACTCTCCTCGTCGTCGTCATCCTCGTATTCGAAGTCATACCTTGGGGATTGATTAGATAGGGAGCCAGAGTACAAGCAAGCGCAACTTACTCCTCCTCGCCGGAGTCTTGCATGAAGTCGTCATCGTCCGACATGTTTGCGGGTTAGAGATGTGCAGTGTGCAATGCAGTTAGGAATGGGGAGGTTCGTCGAGATATGAGATGCTGGGCCCGAATTGCTCCGTTGGGATGTTTGTTGATGTGTGGCTCAGCAGGGCCAACTGCGACTTGCTTGTCTGCGTGAGGCGGTGGTGGTGGTGGTGGTAGTGGTGGTGCCTGCGCGTTAGTAGAGACGCCCCACTTAGGCGGGGCTAATAAGCATAAGCTGAGCTCCCCAGGCCGCCATCCCACCTGCACTTGGACTGCGAGGCCGGTCACGTGCCATTGCGCATTCGCAGCGAGCTGCTAGTGAAATGTCCGCATGTACACGTACGTGCGGACATGTGGGCTACATGGCTCATTGCAGGTAGTATACTATAATGGCACTACGACATTGGTGCATGCATAGTCAGCACCGGATAGCCCAGTGCCTCCCCAAGCCGGCCCTCGGGCTTGGGCATGGTGACATGCTTTGGGTGCAGCCCTACTGTTGAGCCCCAACAGTCCTGTGCCCGCACACAGCTCTGGGGGCGTCAGGATGCAGGGACTCGGCGAGCCAGGCCACATAAGTCGACAAGACGGTAGTCGGTTCATGGCCCAAAGGGCAGTGGGATTGGCGTGGGCACTGGATTGGGCCGAGCATCGTGAATCTGGTACGGCATCTGGTACCTCGACCTTCTTTTTTCGGACCGGTCTCACACGTGGAGTTCCCCGGACATTCGTATCCCAGATGCCCTATCAGCCACTCGCACTCGCTCTCTGCATCCATATCGCCCGCCTTGGTTCGCCCTCTGCTCCCCGGCCGTCATCCGAGCGCAATCATTCGACCCCCTCTGCACTCAGATCCTGCTACTTGCCATCATGCCCGCCCTTCTCCCGCTCTTCTCCCGCCAGGATTGGTGTGCTCACGGCTCTGCTAAGTCCCTCATGGGTCGCCTTGACACCCGAGCGCTTGCTATCGAGCCTGTGAGCTGGTCGCGCGGGTGTGACCAGTACTAATCACCCTTTTAGGTTTAACCCTGGCTACGAGGGTGCATCTTCAACTCCACTGCTCCATCCGCCCCATCGTTTGCCTCTCCACACACCAGCATCTGGATCCCTTACAACTTGACACAACCATCCCTGCCGCCCGCTGCTAAGAGCCCTGCCTGCCACGCCTAAATACTCTTCTTGCCGCCACCCTCGCCGCCCCAGCTGCCGCTCTTGTTCTTCATCCTCCGTCCCGACAACGCGCGCGCGCCGCGCCCTGCTGCTCCCTGAGCCCACAAAACCAATCCATCGCGGCCTCCTCCCCCCTTCTCGACTCTCACCATGCCTTTGTGCGGCGGAACGAAATCAGTGCAGCGCAAGCTGGTACTTTTGTATGTCTGCCTGAGCTCGGCACGCCTGCTTGTCTAGGCCCCGGGTCCATGATGCGACGGGACTTGGCTAACACATGTTTGACAGAGGTGATGGCGCATGCGGCAAGACCTCATTATTGAACGTTTTTACACGAGGGTGCGTATGCCATTGTGCTCCTATTGTGTGTGTATGTGTGTGTGCTTTGCTAATTCTTGCGTAGATATTTCCCAACAGTATAGTAAGTACCTTGCGCTTTTGGTGTTGCCGCCCAAGGCTGACCACGCCGCTTCAGCGAGCCCACGGTATTCGGTAAGAGCACTCATCACGTCTCCCACGCAACATCTGCTGACCATCATCGTAGAAAACTATGTACACGGTTCGTGCGCCATGCTCTCATTTCTGCCCAACTGAATTGACCTTGTCCTCTAGACATTTACATTGACAACACACACGTCGAGCTCAGCTTGTGGGACACCGCCGGACAGGAAGAATTCGACAGGCTGCGATCGCTCAGCTATGACGACACGCATGCCATTATGCTCTGCTTCTCGGTACGGCAATTCGGTCATGTGTTTTCCAGACGGCTGCTTACACGTGCCAGGTCGACTCCCCAGATTCGCTTGAGAACGTAGAAACAAAATGGGTTGGCGAAATAGCAGAGAACTGCCCGGGTGTCAAGCTTGTCCTTGTTGCGCTCAAGTGTGATCTACGCAAGAAAGAGGATGACGATGCCGACGAACAGCAGCCCGAGAAGCCATGCATTGATTACAACGAGGGTCTGCGCGTAGCAGAAAAGATTAAGGCCTTGCGATATCTTGGTACTAAAATGTCGTCCCGTAACTCTCGGAGTAAACTAACATAAACCTAGAATGCTCTGCTATGAAGAACAGGGGTGTCAACGAGGCCTTTACCGAAGCCGCTCGTGTAGCGCTCCAGGTCAAGACCAGCAAAGACAAGAGCGGAGGTTGCACCATCCTCTAGTCAATATTCTTTGGTCTACTACCTCGGTTGAACAACTCGACGGATTTCGAACTCCGAACCCTTGGCCTCGCTATCCGCCCCGTCTTCTCGTTCGATCAAGGCGCACATCACCAAATTTTTCCCTTTTGCCATTTATTGCCATTGCATCGTCCACCTCTTTCTTCACATGCCCATCTTCATTCCCGCTCAGTGCCTTTTGGACAACTAGTACACGACATGATATTGGTTCAGGCCCATTTGGATAAGAAAGAAAGACGAGCTTTGTGCGAGCTGGCGGCCGCTTGCTCAGCAATGTTTTCCATTTGTCCCTGGAGAGGAAGTCTGCTTGGCTTAGATCTCTTGCTTTTTTACCCAGTTTTTTTCAACACCCTTATTATTTTATTGTACATGTTCGCTACCAGCTTAGCTGCATCAGCGCTGGCATTCTTTCTTTTTGCTTTTTCTCCTTAGTTTAGTCTCGTGTCTTCTGAAGATGGTGTGCGCATGCGCGCGCTCTTTGACAATGGCGAAAGCCCTCTGTCGCTTCTAGGCTGAAAACATGATTTTTTTTGTATAGAGTGAAGGCATAGTCATGTTAGATGAGACATCAAATAGCTTGCGCTCTTCATGCTTTCTTTGTGGGACCATGCTGACAGTGATACTGCAATCTTGCTGATCCTGGCTCGCTCCCTTCCTCCCCTGTCTACTACGACGAACCTATCACATCACCCTCCAGCCCCTCCACCTCCTTGACCTTCTTTACCACCTTGGCCGGCTGTCCCATCACCACCGAAAAATCCGGCACATCCTTAGTCACCACGCTCATCGCCGCCACCGTGACCCCCCTCCCTATCGTCACACCCGGCAAAATAACTACATTACCCCCAATCCAGCAGTCATCTCCTATCACAACCGGTCGCCCATACTCGATGTTTTCCCGCCGACTCTGCACTTCTGTCTCGTGCGTAGCCGCAAAGATGGACACATTGGGACCGAACATGCAGCGCGCACCGATTGTAACAAGCGAGCAGTCAAGAATGGTAAGGTTGAAGTTTGCGAAGAAGCGGTCGCCTATGCTGATGTTGCATCCGTAATCAATGTTGAAAGGTGGTTCTATGACTTTTTTTGTTGTTTAGAAATAAAGAACAAATGCTACGAGAGAGAGAGAGAGAAAGAGAGAGGTAACTACATATGTTGTTGTTGTTGTTTTTTTTGTCTTTGCTTGGGAGTAATTATTCAGATGCAAGGTAACGTACAGACATCGTCGCCTAGATGGCCGATTATTTCTTTGAGCATTTTTGCGCGCTCCGTTGCTAGCACGTCGAAGCCGGTTGCGGGGTCGGTCGAGGGTGGGGGGAACCATGTGTTGAATTTGTGGGCGAAGGCGCGGGCTTTGAAGCGCGCGGCGGTTAGATCGTGGGTCAAGGAGTTGTAGCTGATTTGTTGTGTGAGTTGATGATGGTGTTGACATATTTCGGGGGAGAATGTTGTAAAGTGAGGCTTGTGCAGGGAAGTGTAATGTAGGTGTTCGTGCAAGAGTTTTTTTTGGAATATCAACATTTGCTTGGGTAGAAAATGGTAGTATACATACAGCATCCCTGATATCATCTTCTCGTACTCTTCGCCCCATGGGACGTGGTTGAGCTTCTTTGCCTTTTCTATCTCTTGCATGTTCTTTTCTTGTGCCGCCATTTTCGAAGCGTCTGAATAGTCCTTCTTGGAAGTGTAGACTTGATCGATTGAATCGTGAGATATCTCTTGAACAGTATATCAAGTCTTAAATAGATGGTTGTTATTACTTATACAAGGTTATGCCTACAGGTTCCCCGGAGTTCTCCCACGACAAGCACTCAAGACACGCTAAGTGGGGTAGAGAACAGGTCAGGCCGGTCAGTTTGGGGTAATACCTCGCACTTTAGCGCTCAGCCAGCTCCCTCCGAAGTTTTTCCCGTAGGCATGTGATTTCACTCGGTGCCAAGAGACGGTATGCATCTGTTTGATGGTTATGTGGTTACTGGTAGTAAGGTGGGAGGCAATCTCACGTGTCACAGCTGCACACGGCACGACTTCTAGCCACTCACAACTGTATATGTACACTGACGTCCGGTAAGGCCGTGTTGGTCCGATGCCACTGAACCGCCACATATTTTTCTGCGTGATGAACTGTGGCTTTTGATGATTGAGAGCACTGACACAACTTCCAATGATCAGACTGGGCCAATGCGGGCCCCGTCTCAGCCTTCTGCCCCCGCTTTCGTTTTATCGCCATACAAATCCCATTTGCAAAGCTTCAGACAGAACCCGCCAAGTGGTTGAGTGTGAATGACGCCTGCATGTTGTTCCCGCGACTATCTGTCACCCTTAGGCGCGGGGAAGCTCCGTCATCAAGGACAAGGAGTACCATACTTACAATGCTACAGCTCGTGAGGGGCTCATGGAGGTACCTCTCTTTGCAACCTATGGAATTCTTACGTGCGATCATACTTGGGACGTTTAAAAAACAGTCAGGCTGGCTACACTGCTCTGCTTTGACCCGCTCTTCCCATGCATAGACACATACACTCCTCTCAATCATCGCTGAGAGGCAAGACTGTTCAATATTCAGTCCTGCTCACAAGTACACATACACAGGCTGCCAATTAAAGCCTATGTTACTCGCCGCCGTGAAAAGTGTTTGGCGCACGGACGCCGGTGTTAGCGTGTCGGCTAACCAGGCAAGGCCCGCCCACATTGGTTTTGCACACCCTCTCCTCCTCTACAAGCCGTCCGCGTCCTCGACTCTCGCGCCCAATCCATCGACTTCAAGCCACCGGCGATCAACAACCAGTTCAAGACTCTCCATAAACCGTCAATATGGTGAGTTTGACCCTGCGAAAGCACTGCGGAGCGTTTGCGAGGGGCTAGTGGGCAGGCACACGAGACTGCCAGGAGTTTGCCACATGTGTGCAATTAACACCCTCTGGCCTCGCAGCGCTGCGCAGAAACGAAAAAGATGAAGAATTCGGGCTAACGATCCGCCAGGTTCTCGCAGTTGACCTTCTCAACCCCTCCCCGGCCGCGTACGCATACATCTCCGCCTTGTCGACTTGGGCCAGCGACTAACAGCCTATCTAGTGAGGCCCGCAAGCACAAGCTCAAGACCCTCGTGCCCACCCCCCGCTCCTTCTTCATGGACGTCAAGTGCCCCGGATGCTTCACCATCACCACCGTCTTCTCGCACGCCAACACAGTCGTCGTCTGCCAGGGCTGCTCGCAGGTCCTGTAAGTTTTTGGAAACAATTCAGTATATTGTAAAGGGCAAGGGCTAATGCATCCACAGGTGCCAGCCCACTGGTGGCAAGGCGCGGTTGACCGAGGGCTGCTCTTTCCGAAGGAAGTAAGCGACTCGTTGTAGTGACAGCGGGGATTGATGGGTTACGATGACGACTATCATGGCATAGGGTGTAGATCTCATTGGCGCCGCTCGGCTCGACCGCAGGATAGAAGAGGGATCTTTCGACTCGAGTCAATACAAAAGTCAACAAAAACGGGAGTTCCGGATATCTCAGCGCTCATGGACCACCCTTTTCCCTCGATTCTATTTCCTTTTTTGTTCGGCATGGTCTTTCAGCTTTCATGTACATGCATGTGGGAGGAGAGATGGCATCTCAGAGCCTTTGGATTAGTCGTCCAGGGTGAGGACCGGTTTGCAATCGAGGATACCTACGCATGCTAGCGGTCCCTTGTAAATCAAAACGTCAAATCCTCACACTCGTTTCGCATCAATTGTAGCAAGTGACTTGATGTTCATGAAAGTGACATGGTGTTTCTTATGCTTGCATGGCATGTGAATATATCTTTAATGGGGCCGTTTATTAATGTATGCCCAGGCTACGGACTGCCCAAATGCGACATAACGCCAAGATGGAGCCACGTGATGGCTTCAACTCAAGCAAAAAAAATATTTCGATCCACACACAAAAAACATACGATAGCGGGGGTTCGCCAGTAGTCACCCGACTGACTAATAATCCACCGGTAAATTGCGCATACATGCCAGATGGGATGGGATGGCTAGTTTTCACTTTTGAACGATTACCACTATCTTTCTTAATTTTCCTATTTGCGGTTACTGTGTATCTTTCAACCAGTCCGCAACTATCGCTATATACCGTTTACGGCAGCCTAGCATACTACATCAGGATATATATAGAGAGAGAGAGAATGGTAATAGCGTTGGGAGTTTAGCGCTACTGTACGTATCGTCATTGGCCGCAGCTGCGACGTATCTAGCATCATACAGTCCTCTCTCTCTGGGTAAGTATCCCAATCTCCCGTCCCTCTTTACATATTTCAACGCCCTGCTCTCTATTAATTCCTATCCTTCTGCCCTCTTACGTGAGTTTTGGGTGGATAGGTCTACGAGCGCAGGGATATAATCCACCCCGACGACGCTCCTGCCGGGCTGCACTGGTTCCGCCAGGACGTGGGTGAGGTAGCTGGAGCCAGAGCCGATGTCGAGGACTTTCGCACCTGGTTGGGGGTGGGGGGGGGAACCTTGTTCCTCACGGTCCATCACTATTGTCACGTTCCAGAGAAGTACTGCAAAATCTTAGACTTCTATGTGGCTTGTTGCTGTTTAAAGA